GGTTGGTGATTGCCCAGCTCTCTAGTCTATCCAGATCTCCCTGTAAGGCCACTCTACCCTCAAGGGAGTCCCCCGCTCCTCCTAATTTAGTATCATCGGCAAACTTATTAGCGTACATTCAATTCCCGTGACCAGATCATTTATAAAAACATGAAAGAGCACTAGCCCTAAAATTGACCCCTGGGGAACCCCACTGGTGACTGGCTGCCAGCCTGATGTAACCCTATTTACTATAACTCTTTGAGCCCAACTCATCAGCCAATTGCTCACCCGAAGTATTATGGATTTGTCTAGCTGTATGCTGGATGTTTTGTCCGGAAGGATACTGTGAGAGACAGTATCAAAAGCTTTTCTAAAATCCCAAAACCCCACATCTACTGGCTTCCCTTGGTCAACTAGATGGGTGGGCTGCTTCAGATCTGGCTATTTTATCGAATGAAGGAGATTTTTACAAAAATCAAATGGGAGATTTTCAACAGAAGGAGGGAGGATAAGAGAAGGTTTTCTATTTTAAGACAGTGCAGAATAAAGTGATGCTGAAAGTTGGGTTTAATCAAAGAGGACATTAGAAAAATCCACCAAAACATTGTATTACAGTTAAAAAGAATGCAAAAGTAAAATATCCCAAAACTCAGGCAAACTGGTGCTTGGCAGCACTGACTAGAAGATAATTTCTCATAAGGATTCTTTCAATGCTTATTTCAAAAGTCCTCTCTGCAATGTTATAGATAGCAGCCCACACACAGACAACAGGATGTATGACTGCATGGATACAGCATTGGTCAAAGTGATAATAGTGGACGGGGTCCCTGTAGGCTCACTGACATCTCTTTCTCTATTCAGACATTACAGAAAAGTGAAATTGCTCTAGAGCTCAATGCGGAATTCAGTTTCTCTTGTTCAAGTTTAGAAGAAACAGGATTACCAGCGATTTCCTGCTTTCCTTAGTGGGCTGCCCTGCAGTAAACTTCCATCTATGAAGACTGATAGGTACTTCACTTATAGGCACTTTGGGCTCCTAAGCAGTCACATGAGGGCTTCATGGCTATAGTGGTCACTAACACAGTGGTTTAATTTTCACTGTGGTTTTAATTTACTACTGAACAGCACTTTTACAAAATACACTGCAGTATACTTACTAACTTGTAAAAACATAGTAGCACAAATGCCCTCAGTAGCCTATTCATAACACTACAGCTGAGAAAAGAACACTCTGCTACCCATTTCTCTTTCTTTTCACTTGTCCAGTAAAAAAAAAAAGAGTTCATGGAGTTTTGTAATTTCAAGGTACAAATTTTGAAGAAATTCTACAGTATTTGTTTACTCTTATAAACACAGTCTAGTGCACTTCAGGAGCCACAGGGTGGGAAAGGTAAAGGAAAGGGAACCCAATATCAAAAATATCTAGAAGTTTCAATCTTCTAGATTTAAAGAAAAGTGGGACATTCAACCAGAGTTCCTTGACATAAAGCAAGCTTTACTGATTTGTTTTTCTAAGGAAAAATAAGATATTTTTCAACGTAAAATGGCAAAATCTATGCCCCTTACTTTCTTTACTTCCACCTAACTTTTTCCAAAGTGGGAAAAAGGATACTTTTGTAAAATACTGAAAGGCTGAACTTTTACACACTGTGGGCATCCCAGCATACCTCCTGAATAGCTGTCATGACAACATGTTGAACCGATTCTTCCATCATCATTATGGTCTGGATGTACTCTGAAAATAAAAGCATTATGAAATGTTACTGCTGAAACTCAAGTCACACAGAACATGAGGTCAGAAGCTGCATCCTTCTGACAAAATAACTAGGTGCCACAGATAACACTGAAATGCATAATCACCAGCCAAGTCCCACCCCAACAAACTCAACAAGACTGTATCAGAAGTCTGTTCAGACATAAATCCAGGCTCGCTGGAACTCTGCAACAATAGAAAAAGTACATGATTGTCACCCATTTTTTTCCTTCTGGCATCTCACACTTCTGAAACAAATATTTATACTCCTTTTCTCACTTTGTTGCCAAACTACTCAGGCTATATAAGTACACGACCCACACACAGGTTGTCCTTTTCCATAAGTTTAACAATAATGTCCTGCTTTCCTACAGCATCCTCATTTCAAGGCATTTTCATATCCGTTCTTGGTTTCTGTTCTTATTTCTGTCCTATATCACAAATAAGTGCCCTCCACTTTTTCATTCCCCACCTATGTGTAGATGTGAACTACACAACAAGTACCTTGTAAGATGATACAGTGGTTAGAAGGACAAATTCTGACATTTAGACCAAGTCAAGGAGTTCATGACTTGCCCAGTATCATATGGTTTCCAGTCAGATATGATCACCTTTACCTGTGACCTGTATTCTTTTAATGATTTGCCCAAGACGAAGATGCTGGGAATCAGTCACCTCAAAGTGATTAATTAGGTCGCGCCAAGTCTCACTCAAAGTACCTAAAACTAGACTGTTCCAGTATTTCAAACATGTACATTTTTAATGTCCAGACTGAAAGAGTAAGAGAAACACAGGAATAAGATATACTTCCCACTTGAGGATGCCAAATAGTCACCAAAAGGAAGGAAGATAATTTTACATAAAACAGAGAGGACAGGAGGCCTAATAGAACAGTTTTATTTATGTACTCATGGAAGAAAATTATCTCTATTTTAATTAATAGGATAGCCAGACTGTCTCCTGATTAAAGAAAGAATAAAAGTAATTTCAGAAGGAGAAATTGAAGTGATTTAGGCACCTGAGAAAACTGGAACGGGGAAACTAGCTATAAAAGCTAAGATGCACCATGCAAGAGGAAGACAAAAGGTCCAAAACCCTGGCTGCCATTTTGTCAGAAAGGAAACCAAAATGAGTTAATATCTGTGTCTCTCAGGAAGAGACAGATATTTGATGTGACTTTAATGCAAATACAGTAAACATAGTTTTATTTACCCACATGTGTATTTTATAAACATGTTCCTATGCTTCCTGTTTCAAGTTTTAAGAATAAATGTCTGTAGTTGCTTTGTTACCTTAATCTGGCTTGAATTAAGTGTAATTTAAGGTAACTCAGTAACAATAAGACACCCTGCAACCAAGGCAAGTTTAGAGCATGAGATTTGGGACACTTCAACAAGTGTCTCCGCCGTTCATTGCATCCTCTGTGGCATCTGCAGGAAATATGAATGGGTACCTATTTTACCTGTGCAGGTCAGATAGACAGCTGGTGCCATGGGAGTCAAGAGAGGCATAAGTCTCTTTCAGTGACTGCTGAAGTGGGATTCAATTGCCTAACAGATGCCTCAAGTGACATTCTGGATGCCTTTAAGGTATCATGCTTGGTCTTCAGCTGCTGCCCAGAAGGGCATGGTTGCCAACATTACTTTGTCCTATTTGCCAACCCCAAGCAAAAGTCTCAGAAACTAAAGTATCCCAAATCACACCAGACACATCTTCAGACCCACCCCAGTCATACTGATGGCTCTGGGCCATGTAGTAAGATGCTGACTGGAACGCATTCCTAAAACAAAGAGTCACACAGAATTGTGCAACAATCACATTTTTTGATTCTTAACTATCCTGATCTACCTCATAAATGGTTAAAGGGTGAGCCCAAGAATTTTCCTTTGTAGAGTGCCTTTTCAGCTCAGCGAACAAAAATTGAAAATATGTACGTGGGAAGCAAAACCAGTTCCACGGTTTGAGACTCCAAAACTAGTGAAGCTTATAGCAAAACAATAGTTATTATCTGTAGGACAAAATAATGTCATCACTGAAAAAAAAAATACCTTTGTCTCTGACAGCAACCTGAGAAATACAATTTTTCCCCTAAGCAGTTACACAACAAGCTGGATTTTCATTCACTGCCGGGGAGAAAACATGCTTTCAAAATTTAATACCTTGCTTCTGTTCACAATTCACAGCGCATCCCAAAATAAGCTGAAGCATTCTCCCAAGCTCCGCAGCATCAGCATGCTCTCCGATCAGGTTAACATCAGGAAGGGTGAAGTCATTAATCTGTTGCCCTAGAATCTGCATAAAGACCCAGTACACACATGTCTGTATCACTACACATATACATACACACACATTTCAAAATACAAAGATGATTCACAATCAACAAGAGCAATTCATTCGTACTTTAACATAGTTTTCAATCCACCTTTAAAACAAACTAAATTGCCTAACACCTTACATCCAAATATTAAACCATACTGCTTGACACAACTAGTATTTGGGAGAAGACAAACCTGACTGTCTCAACTAATAAGAAACTATTGGTTTCAAGCTTAGAAAGATTTTTTCTTCAGATAAGAAAGGTAACAAAGGCAGGTTTCCACTCGATCAACAGCACATGGATAATTAAATTTTTTTTAAAGCATTCCATTAAAAAAATCTAACACCTAAAAACACCTTATGTAGCATAAAATATTATGCACAAAGCTCACATTTCTTACCACTAGAAAGCCATAAATTGAAATATTTCACTTATACAATACATGTGTCCAGCACTGATGCATAACAAAAAGACGACAGTAAAAAACTCAATCACTTGGCCTCACGCTTTTAGAAAACTTAAGGACATTTAGCAAGTCTCAGAGCTAAGAAAGCTAGTTCCGTGGAAGAAAATTTGAGGTAGTAGTACAATACATAATTAAACAGCCCCCATGCAGAAAGAAAAGAAAAAAAACAAAACAAAACAAAAAACCCCACGTGACTTACAATTAATGTAATCTGATTTATAATTAAGAAGGATTTACATTAAAAATTGTCAGTAGAAGGAATTAAACAATTCTGTTAAATTGTTCATAAAGAGCTTTCAGGGGGCTGAAAATATGAATATGAAATACCGAATTAAACACATCTCTGACACATTAATTGCAGATAAAAAGAAACTGTCACTTCTTAAGCAGGGTGCAGTAAAGAAACAATGACTATGGAGGGAATCAGTCATTTGTTTGCTGGATGCCCTTTTTTGTGTTAATACTCAAGAAAAACAGAAAATCAGGTAAAGATATTCATAAAAAAAATTTAATACATGTATATGAAGAATACACGGAAATCAAGCCATTCAAAAGTTTTCCAGGGTTGGGCTTTGTGGAATTGTTGTAGTTGAGTTTGTTCTTGCTTTGTATGGTGGTTTTTGTATTGTGGCATTTTTTTTTTTTAAACAGCTTTCTCAAAGAATGAGCACCAACACTACTAAAAATCTCTGTATACTTTAAAGGACCCAGATTCACTCTTTTTGGAAAAGACTTCCTTTAGGACATTCTAGTGAGAAAATAAGAATTCTGTGAACGCATCAAGCACAACGGAAAATATTACCATTGTATATAGACTGCAATAATACAGTAAAACACTATATTCTTTGAATTATACAAATCTGATATGTGTTTATATATTGATCTGTAGTTCCTAAATTTCTTATAAATGCAGTGCCAGATTTAAGTTAATAATACTACAACGGCTTCATAGTTACTGATACTATAATTGCTGTTGAAGAAAGCTGAAGGGAAGAGGCATATCAGCAGGCACTATGAAGAAGCCAAGGATGCAAAGGTGTAAATAAAGGATTTTGAAATAAACATGAGATACAATTTTAATTTAAAAAAAAAAAAAATTGAAAGAAATATGAAAATGAAGGATAGACTCTGCAACAAATATGTTGAGATGAAAAAGAACATTCTTCCCCTTTTTAAAAAAATAAATATAAAAGACCTTTAAAAAAAAGTGAAAGTTTCGATTCCAGAGCAGCAGAGTTCTGCAGCAAGATTACTGGGGCATAACAAAGCATGCAAGCTATAAATGGGTAGCTTTGGCTTCTTGTTCCTCCATACTATAATTGACAAAGACAGCAATGTAGGCTAGCTATTGAAAGACTGTCCTCCGATAGAAATTTTTGAAGATGAACAAAATTAGCACATACACTTTTCAAAGGCTTTTAGCTATATCAGGTAAAATCCATATACATTCACATCTATGTTTTTGTAGATGGTGACTGCTAGGAGAGGGAATCAGGTTGAGGAAAACATAACCAGGATTCACAGTACAATCCAGATCATGTCCGTTACCACCACAAGCATTACCTCAGCAGAAAAAAAAGAAACCAAACCAAAATCCAGTCAAACTTATAAATGTGCATTACCTTTGCAGAACTTAATCAGCTTGAAACAGCTCAAAACTTGCTTAGGAGTAAATTTTTCACACCAGAAACTTAATCATCATACATACCGACTAGCCAAAAAGAAGCTGGCATCACTTTGTCATAGTAGTATTAATTTTCTATGACAAAAAACTTATTTGTTTCTTTCTAGAACTGTCAGTTATGACCAGCTTGCTTAACCATCAATTTTCAAAATTTATTTCAACATGGGTACCTGACCATTTACTGAATATGAGCTCATAAGTCTAACTTCTTCTTTCTGAAAATCTGTTCCTTTTTAAGGACTTAAATTTACTAACAAGTATCTTCCTCTCTGAAGTATTTATGAGAAGCTAATATTTTGAGACAAGCAATGTTCAGAACGTACATATCATGGATTTTGTGCTGCAGCCTGTACAAATCAATTTGCCTCAAAACATCACTGAAACTAAAAGCATATTTCAGCTGAAGATTCACCACTGAAAAAAATGCTGTATTGTACCTCCTCTGGAGTGGTTCATTTCTGAGTTTGCTCAATAGTCTGAGAGAGAATGCCAAGGGCAGACTCCAATATCCCAGGATTAAAACATTTAATTGAAAATTTTAGTGTGGGGAGAAGCTAAAAATGCTCTTTACTCTCTCTCCTCAAGAGAAAAAAAAAAAGGAAAGAGGCAGTCTTTAGCTGGAGCGGGGGGGGCGGAATTCAAACACAGGTACTGTTAAAGTCCATCATCAGAACACAGTTAGCAAAGACATCTACTGTTTGTATGACAGAATTTGCACATCAGACTCCTCTGGAAGCTCTGAGTATTCAATAAAGCAGGTGAGAAGTTTTAGAGAAGGCTAACACCTGAGAATAGGCCATGAAACACTCTGTATGCCAAATACTTTGCAAGATAAAGTCAGAACTTAATCAGTAGAATATAGTTTACATTAAACAGGTTAACTAAAATCTGTAACAAAAAGGAATGTAGATGTAGATTACTTAAAACAGCTCTTACCTCATGGTTGTAATCCAGTATTCCTTTTAAAATTTTCTTCAGGTTGCTTACCTGTTTGACAAGAAGGAAATACAATAAATGCAAGGAATAGATTACAGAGGAATGATCATAAAGTAGGCAATCACAGAAGAATCATGCAAAAGAATCATACAATTACATCTATTTGCACAATGAGACTTTCTGTTTGAGCAGTTTAATTTAGAATCATGAAAGTTATGCAATAGCCCCTTATGATCAGACTTCCAGACCTGATCACAAGTCTTTATTAATTGACAGAATGCATTCAAATTTATGAAAAATATCATATTGTCTTGGATAGGCTTTAGATCAGACTCTAAAGCATGAATCTTTTTTGGAGTACTTGTTTATCTTAGGATTATTTTTGTATCCAGAAGTTGAAACATCCTTTTCCTCCTTTCTTCTCTTAAAGTATCCTAGTGATCTACTTTCTGCAGAAATAAAACCTCTTCTTCCAAACCAAAACCAGCTACTGCTCAATATCCTCCTTTATTTCCAACCTATGTAAGCTTAATTCATTAACTTTCTCATTAATTATTCCTCTTAGTTCTTTCATTTTTGTTCATCCCTGCCCCCCCAGTTCTTTACAATTGAATGTCTGTCTCACAGCATCAAGGCAAAAGTCACATTTCTCAGTGATGCCTTCACTGACATACAAAGATAGCTTCTGTTCACTTGCATAACCAATGGCATCAGTTAAGTGTCTCCTGCTGTATAGAATCTATGCCACGCTTCTCTAGTACTGAGTACTGCTCCCTTTCCAGCAAAAATCCATGTACATCAAGTCTCTGAGATAAAGAATGCATATAAAAATTATAAAAATGCCCAATGGATCTCATAGGTGATATTTAGGAAAAAGAAAAGAATTATTTCCTGAAAGTAACTGCTACAGGTTCCCACCAATTAATGTCCAAGTATTTAAGCAAGAAATTTAGATAATAGTAGCAGTGCACAAAGGAGCAGCTGAGACAACTGGGGTTGTTTAGCCTGGAGAAAAGGAGGCTGAGGGGAGACCTTATCACTCTCTGCAACTACCTGAAAGGAGGTTGTAGCGAGGCGGGTGTCGGTCTCTTCAGGCTGCCCAGGGAAGTGGTTGAGTCACCACCCCTGGAGGTATTTAAAAGATGTGTAGACGTGGTGCGCAGGGACATGGTCTAGTGGTGGACTTGGCAGTGTTCGCTTTATGGTTGGACACAATGATCTTAAGGGTCTTTTCCAACCTAAATGATTCCATGAAGTCTATAAACAGGTTCTGCAAAGACTGAACCTGACTGAATGAGGATTCACAAAGTGCTGTTGCTGACAACAGTAGTCACAGTGGCAAACTGTGGACCTATAATGAAGGGAAAGCGAAAACTCTCAAATCCCAACTGTCTTTAAAGCCCACAATAACTTCTATATTCCTGATTACATTCCAAAAATATCCAGCTAGGAGATTCTGTCCACTGACAGAAGTCGTCTATCTTCCGAAAGATCTGAGGAAACGCTACAGAAAACAGTTAGGAAACATGATACTTGAAATCCAGGGACAAACTCAACGCTTCAACACAATCAACAGACAAAATGAGGTGATGAAAGCAAAATCCAGTCTCTTTTCTAAGGGAAACTCAAAGGAACAGGCTACACACACACTAAAAGATTTAGCCATGAAATCCAAAGTGATCTGATTACCTTATTCCTATTAATCCACTCCCTTTTGGAAACAAGTGCAAAAGCTGACCACTTATTAAGATGTAAGAACATCCTGATTGTCTTCATAATCACTGAACTTTAAGTCATACAAGAAACAAAAATTCACTTGGACTTGAAAAGTGACACATCAAATATTCTGACAACCTAGAATGAGAACTGGAGATGCTACCTGATAGCAAGTATATAACAACATTTACTGTCCTTCCCATAACAGCATAATAATTAGTTTACTTTCAGGTTTACACCTTCTACTCCCAAACACATACTATTTCTGTACTATTACACATAACACATCATGTTTCTGTAAGAACTACAACTATCTTCTTGCTGTCTGCCCAAAAGCAATCACCACCACCTCTCAAAGGCTATGCACAATCATAACCAAAGTCTGCAACAGATTTAAGAATTTAAAGAAATGTAAATAATTTTATTTTGATGTCAAATCACCACTGCACTGATTGGAATATAATTTTCAAACTTGGTTCATTAAAATCTTCCAGTTTGTAATTTACCTGAATCTGCTGCAGAAAGTGCCAAAGAAACGCAAAGGCCATGTTGCAGAATTTAAGTCCAGTTTACCGATGAGAACATTGTGAGGAACCTTGAACTTGAACATAATCCCAAAAAATGAGAAACAAAATGGAAAAGTACCTGCCTACAAAATACTTCTTTTCCCCTTTCCTCGTAAGCATTGTTTGAATTAAAAATCCCTTAAACACAAAGAGTCATCTCCATATAACTTTCATAGAGCTTAGAGCTGAGATCCTGGAACAAAATCAATATTGGATCAAAATCTGTCATCAAATCTAACATATAGGGCAGCATCCTTGGAAAAAGAAAACAGCAAACTGAAAAAAAAGTCTTACATGCTTTCAAGAATTAACTGTACCATCTTTGTATCTAGCACACAATCAGACAATTATAAGGCTAAAGCAGCTTCTTTATAGACTGGCTTAAACTTAACAATGATCTTCAGTATTACTCAGCGGGCTCTCGATTATTTTTTTTTTTTAACTTGTCTGCAGTGAATACACTTAGATGGTTCTACTGCCGCTGGCAGAGAATCATCATGGGGAAACTACCACAAATGTTTTTTATTTTGAGATTCAACTCAGTAGCTCCAGTAACATTTGTCAGGTCATAGCATAAGTTCTTAAAAGGAATACTTCAAACAGAGATGAATGAAAATGAACAACAGCACAGGAAAGTGTTAAAGACAACCAACTACATCAGAATTCTAAATCACAGCAGGTGATGGTTCAGAATTATTTTTTTTTCTCTTTTTCTTACACATGGGGAAAACCTAGCTATAACTAGTTAACAAAGACCATTAAATCATGCAATAATAGAATACAACAGACAGAATTTCCAATATCGATCATGACTATAAAGTGCTGTATCATCCTTTGGAGATCAGCCCATGATCACATGGGATGCTTATTTGCTTGCATCAGCAACCTGACTTCCTCCTTTTCCATACAAAGCACGTACACTACCCTCCCAACCCCTTTCACATCCATTCCCTGCACCCATACCTCTGTTGGAAAAGACATGAAACTTACTGGGGAAAAAAAAATAGTGACAGCTGTGCTTCATTCCACTTCAAAAGCTGTTGCAACTCACAATAGATGGATTATTAATTATTTCTAGATGAATCTCTATTCATTTTCAATATCTTTTCCATCTGTCATTTCCTGTTGTACTTCCCCAATCTCATATTATCAAGGAGAGGATATCCGCTTTGAACTAATGTATCCACAAAGTCAACCTGCATGTTATCATTCATTCTCTGAACACCTAAATTTCACTAATATCCACAGCAGAGCTATGTGGATGTTCCTTACGTTACATGATCATTACACCCTCCATTTACAGCCATCTTGGCTGTAGTATAGTACTACATAGTTAGGACACACTGTTCAGGATGAGACTCACCCTTATTACACAGCATTAACCTGACAAACTGACGGGAATGAAAGCAGAGATGATGTGCCCTGGGCTACTGAAGGCAACACATGATCTGGCAACACCATACAACTTAATGTTTGCGGGTTTTGTCTCCTTTTTCCCCCTCACCTGTCATATTAAATCTCTATTTTTATTTAATTACAATTTACTTACTGGTTCCAAATTGAGGGTCTGTAAGGGTAGTCTGTCTAGATTTCTCTCTTTATGAATATACTTGAGCAACAAAAGGAAAGCCTGATGAAGCAGACAGTAGAAATGCCCTTAAGCTTGTGATTGCTGACAAAAAGAGAACATGGGTTACCTAACCTCTTGTTTTTTCTCTAACATTATGTAAGCCAGTCCCCAGTTTTGCATTTATCCTTATAGCACATGTATGACTGAAATCCTGTTTGTGCTGAAGACTGTGTAAATTGACTTATCCTTGTACATTTCAGGTCCTGAAGTGTCCGAATGGGAACCCCAATGTTCTGAAATGCTGTTCAACAGTATCTTTCCTGGGTAATTATGCGCAGACCTGTAATTGGCCCAGCCAACATGGGTTCATGAAAAGCAGGTCCTGCTTGACCAACTTGATCTCATTCTATGACCAGGTGACCCGCCTAGTGGAGGAGGGAAAGGCTGTGGATGTGGTCTACCTGGACTTCAGCAAAGCCTTTGACACTGTCTCCCACAGCATTCTCCTAGAGCAGCTGGCGGCTCACGGCTTAGACAGGTGTACTCTGCGCTGGGTCAAAAACTGGCTGGACGGCCGGGTCCAGAGAGTTGTGGTGAATGGAGTTAAATCCAGTTGGCGGCTGGTCACGAGCGGTGTTCCCCAGGGCTCAGTACTGGGGCCGGTCTTGTTCAATATCTTTATCAACAATCTGGATGAGGGGATCAAGCGCACCCTCAGTAAGTTTGCAGAC